CTGATGGTATTCTGCATTGCTGTATAATGTATTCCTGGGATTTGTAGTCCTCTATAACTGATGGTATTCTGCATTGCTGTATAATGTATTCCTGGGATTTGTAGTCCTCTATAACTGATGGTATTCTGCATTGCTGTATAATGTATTCCTGGGATTTGTAGTCCTCTATAACTGATGGTATTCTGCATTGCTGTATAATGTATTGCTGGGATTTGTAGTCCTCTATAACTGATGGTATTCTGCATTGCTGTATAATGTATAGCTGGGGTTGGTAGTCCTCTATATACAATGACAGAACCACCAGGGTCACAGCAGTTGCAGCTGTGACGGGGCTCTAGCATTTCGCCACTTGGGGGGCCCTGGTAAATGCCGACATTACAGGTTACCAGACCCCCTTCAATCTGTCTGTGGCCCTTCATCCTTCAGACTGCATAGATCATGTGTGTCATGATTGAACTATGGTTTGATTTGGGGGGCAAAGAAAGACTTGCCCCCAGGCACCTCGTGACCTGGCTACGCCTCTGGGGGGAGGCTCCATTACCGGATGAACAAGCCAGCTCGGTGGTTCAAGTGAGTATAACTATTCTCTTTTTAACCTAGACAAAAAGGAGCAGTTAACCCTTACAATGCGGGGGTAGACCTAGTGCAAGGGTTAATAAAAGTTTTGCCTGGAGTTCTTCTTTGAAGTGAAACATTGGCATTGCACAATATCTTTAAATAACATGCCTAATGAATGCCTTAAACTGAATTGAAGCCACATTTTTTTTTAGTTTTGAAACGTGTCAGTGGCGGAACTACCAGGGTCGCAGAGGTCGCGGCTGCGACCAGGCCCTGGAGTTCCACCATTTGGAGTGGGCCTAGGACAGGAGGAAGGGCCTGATTACCAGGACATTTAAAGGAGAACTATGGGGTTAAGGCTTTTCCCCATAGTTCTCCATAGGGTAACGGGAGGACACAAACTAGAGTCCTCCCGTCACCCTAGGCTCAGTATACCCTGAGCTGTAGCTCGGGGTATACTGAGACGCCGCAGTATACCGCCGGCAGCTGCTCGCGGTATACTGAGCCGCCGCAGCTGAAGCGGATCCCGACAATTGTACCGAGATCCGCCCAGCTGCGTGACTGACAGCTGGCTCTGCCTATCTAGAGGCAGAGCCAGCTGTACCCGCCCCCTCCCCCGTCCATTCCGCCAGTCAGCGCTAGCGGAGGGGGGAATCCAGCCCCTCCCCTGTCACAGCAGAGAGCCATGACAGGATCGAGAGGTGAGCGAACGCCGATATGTGTTCGCTCACCTCCCGATCTACTGAGCCGACCTGTGACAGTCTCATTGTCACAGGTCGGCTAGAACTATGAGGTGAGTGAAAAGCACTCACCTCATAGTTCTCCTTTAATATCCCGGTATCTGCAAATGTCAGTCCCGGGACCTCTTCCTCCTATCCTGGGCCCTACATGCTTCACGCTGCTCCCCTCACCTTGTTCCGGGCGCAGCGTGAAGTATGATCCAGCCGTTGCAGCAGCCAATGAGTGCGAAGTGGTGTTATCCCCGCCCCCTCATCACACAGAACTGCTGCCGAATAGAGAGCTGCTGTGGACACGAAGGGGGAGATATGGGGAGCTGGGACTATGAAGGTGACATGTGGTCCGGGAGCGGAAAGCTGGGGACGTGAAGGAGGAGATGAGGGGAAGATGGGGACATGGAAGAGGAGAGTGTGGGGTCCGGGAGCAGAAAGCTGGGAACATGAAGGGGGAGATAATGTGGAGATGGAGACATGAAAGAGGAGTGGTTTTTTTTTTGTCTAAAATTTGTTTGTTCAAAAAAACCATTTAAATAATGTTTTTATTCTTGGG